AAACATATACCTACAAGATCACCTGCCCAGATTCCAGCTTCATCACCACCAGTACCAGCCCTTACTGCAGAAAAAGAGAATACGTATGTATGAGGAACAGTTGCAGTCAAATCTGGTTCGGATATATGATGTTCCATCATCTCTTCCTAAAAAGGAGACTCGAGAGAGCATTTTACATTGCTAAACATCCATATGTGGTTCTCAAGCAATCTAACAGAACAATTTATTTAAAGGGAAACTATGAGATTACCTTCAAGCATTATATTTCTTGCATCAAGAGGGTCACTAGGAAGGAGTAGCATCTGTTAATATAAAATGGAACATTATCCCAATTGATATTCCAACTATGGAAAGGAAAACATTAAAAAATTGAAACAACAATATTCGGTCAAAGTAGTTCAGAATGCCAAATCGATCAATCGCATGTAAAAATACCTTGAGCTTCGCTTCCAGTTCTTTGATTTGATTGGATAAAGATTCAACTTCAAAAGATATCATCTCTGCCATATCCTCATCACTGCCAGCTTCTTTTGCTAAAGCTGATGTATCAATATAAATATCAAAGTGAACGTTAGCAAATAGCTCCAAAATTTTCGAAAGAAATGTTTTATATAGGCATACAGTTACATAAACCTTTAGTCTCTTCTAACTGCTTCTCGCAGTCCTTGAAATCCCTATAGATTGTCACAACCTGTACATTGAAAACAAAGGCAAAACACAGTCAGTTAAAATCTAAAATGAAATAAGCGGCAAAGATAAACTGCAGCACCTCATCAAGCTCTGCCACAGACTGCGCAAGCTTCTGGTATTCACTGGGATTTGACACGACATCTGGATCAGCCAGCTTGACCTACATTCGTTTCCGCTTTTTCATGAGGATACTCAAATCCAAAGAAAACAACTGCAATAATAAACCATGTAGAACCACAGTACACGAATCTATACAGTGATACGCAGGCGGCTAAGATCTGCATGAAACCAATTAGACCCAATTCGTGCCCCTTTCTTCCCCTTTCTCTGTTTTCTTGTAGAATTCGAAACATAAAATTCAAATTCGGTTAAGGCAATTTGCAAGTCATTATCTCTGCAATGGGCCTTCAATTGCAATCACTACCATCAAAATTTTAATCACCAAAATTATACATTCCCAATCTTCCGAAATCATTCAAATTCTCTACCATATAAATCCCTAAACCCTAAACCTAAAACCCTTTGGACCAAAAAAAAAACCTAAAACCCCAGACCATAAACACTACACAGTATCACACACAGAGAGGGAAAAATCAAAACCATCAACCCAAAACATTCAATCAGAGTACGAAACGTACTGATAAATCTTTCCACGTCTTCTCGGCGGAGTCCAGCTTTGTAATCAAATAGGGTTCCTGCAATTCCACGAAAAAAACATCAGAAAATGAGAATCCAATCACATAACACCTGTTTGTTTATCGGGAAAACTTTTCCCTTCAAAAAATAACAAAGCCCCAATTTCGAAATCTGTAAATTTCCAATTTCAATGTTTCTAATTGGGAAGCATTGTTATTGTTCTGGGGGTGGATGTACGAACCGCCATGCAAACGAGTCTGGGAGCTCTGGCAGGACGTTTACTGACGAACACGGAGCTCGACGACGAGTGGTCGTGGAAACGGCGTCGTGCTGGAAATGCGAGTAATCGAGAAGGAGTGGAGCTCGTAGTGACGCCACTCATTGCAGCCATGGGAGTTGCAGGTCGGAAGGAAAAACGCGCCTAAACCGATATGTGGCGTTTGGAACGGATAAAGTCCCGCTTACGGGTCCTGTTTGGGAACTTGGATATCGTATCCCACGCAAACGGAATTAAAGGTTGCGATTGCAAGTAAAACACTTTTAAGTGGAATGTGACGTAATCAAATTTGAATGTAGATAGAAAATTTGGATCCTTGTCTGATTTTTTTTGTGATAATTTTAGAAATTCATAAATCGTGTCTGTTCATCGTATATTGTACGATCATAAATTATTTTAAATTTTTTTATTTAAAATTAAACACAAATAATATTTGACAAAAATTAACTGCATGATATACGATTCACAGATCCCTATGATTCTTACCAAAAAAATCTGGAGAGGATCCTGTTGGGTAGGTGGAAGCTTCAACCATTGACATATGTTAATTATTTTTGTGATTATGTATTGTGTAGGTCATATTAATACACTAATTATAAATCTTAAAAATTTATTTTAATTGATTTATTTTAAAAATATATATGAGCTGAAAACAGAGAAAATCTAACGTCACATCAGCCATTAAATTAGTGTTTAACATTTATATTTTAACATATTCATTGCTATCACCATAAAGGTATGAACAAATATGGTAAGATTTACAAAAGTACTTACTAAATTTATACATCAAATGATGGGACAATGCATTACTTAATTAAATAATTAGTTCTTCCTTTATATCCAACAACCAAAATGTAACATGCATGCGAAAATACTATACAGTGGAAAAAAATTTGGTGCCAAGATTTGAACCAAAGCATTTTCGTTTACAAACACAATAAAATATTTTCATTTTTTTTTTTGTCAGACGGTAGATTTGTTTGATTACAGAGTTGACGAGATTCATGTCGTGATGTAAGATCAACACTCATTTCAACCACTGTGATAGATGACCACTTGATAAAACACATTTTCCTTTTCAATGCAACCAAATTATCTTCAGATTTTTTTTTTTTTTTTTTAAGTTGGTAGCTTCGTCATGACAATCCACTTTTATGGCGACAATAAAGATTCACATAAATATTTTAACCTCTCTATGACCACCATCGTATGATTCACTAGCATCAATAATCGAACCTAAAACGTGTCATACATAATATAAGTCTGGAATATGCCCCAACCACAGGGCCACCTAGTTTTATTAAAATCTAGTTGGGTAAATGTAATGTGTACTCATTTCTGCCAACAAAAAAGAAATCAACATGTGCTCTGCATGGTGTTACACTCTAGTTCGAGTAAAGTTTTCTCATAATTTAAATTAATTAATTCAATTTAATATAAATTATTTTAGAAAACTTTAACGAAAAACTACCAATATTGTTCACTTTAACAAAAAAAAATCACATTTTTACACTAAAAAGTCAATCATGGTACTATTCACTTTACTCTTTATTTTGTTTTAATCGTTAAAACTCAAAGTTTTTAAGTCATTTTCATTAGTTTTCCTATTATTTTATCGTTTGTCAGCGTCCCTCATACTTTAAATTTGATCGATTGAGTCTTTTTAAACTACATTTTTAGGAAAGAGGATCCTATTCGTAGGATCCGCACATCATAGTCGTTCATCGTACATTGTGCGGCTAGTTTTCGTCAGGTACTATTTGTGTTTAATTTTAAATAAAAAAATTAAATAATTTATGACCGTACGATGCATGATGAATAGTTAAGATGTGAGTATTCCTATGATTCGCACAATTTGGATCCAGATAGATCCAAATCCCATTTCTAGCACCAATTTTGGTTTTTTTGTTTGCGCCAATTTAATTTTGGAAATAAATCTAAACTCCCGGACCACACGCCGTACAGTGCAAAGTGGCTTCTTTCGTGCAGGGCTCCGAACAGAAAGAAAAAGCCAATCAGAAGCCTCTTTCACTCCAACTATCAAAATGACAGTTTCATCCCTCCATACAATGCGGCATCGAAGCTCACTTTTGTCGCATTCCATGTCTGAATATCCAAGGGCTGCTTCGTAATTTCCAAACTCTATCGACGGTTCCCAAGCAAATCTCCCTCTTTCCGGTGCACCTTGTATTAGCCGGTACGGAAACACAGTCGAAGTCTCTTATGAAATAGAAAATTTTGGTTTAGCCCGTGAGCGCGTCTTGTATGCTCATTTAATAGTAATAAATATATTATTTGTTAAAAATATATATATATATGTTGTCGTTGTTTTGACTATTTACATGAATCTTAGTTGTTGGTCGTATTGATATTTTTAATACAACATGTGAGGATGAAAATTTAGTTATACAATATTGACCATAAGTTATACATATGCTAACCATCAAACCCTTTAAGAGAATAGATTCTCATTATTTTTTTTTTAAATGGTAATAAGTTTTGGGACCCGTTTCATATCGAATTTCAACAATCTGAATTCTCTATTTTATAAGTCTCGAAATATCATCTTTGCAAAATTTCACTAATTCGAAACCATTTGGTCATTTAATTGCCACAATGAAATTTCAATGTTTCTCATAACATAATAATGTTGGTCAATTTCTTTAAACTCAATTAGATACCTCAAATATTTATGATTTAGCTAATGTTTGCAAAGATTATCTATGAGATGCAACTTGACAAATAAACAGTTCAGATCGTTGAAGTTCGATGTGATGTGGACAACACGACTAATTCCCATTTAAAAAAAATAAAGAGGGGTCCCTTTCCTAAAGGCATTGTGCCAGTCATATTCAGATATAAAAATCGTCATTAATGAAAGTTTGAACAAACATTAGACATCTTTCTTAAAAGTGGACATTATATATACTAAAACCCAGTTGCTTCCTGGCACTGTTCAGCAATAGTGTCATGACGGATCTGCCCCTGGCTTCTTTGCTTTCTTCCGTTTGTCTCCCTTGCTTCCGTTTCTCTCCCTTGCTTTCTTCCGTTTCTCTCCTTTGCTTTATTGTTATCCTTCTTTTCTTCGGGATTCTTTCACTCTTTGGCCACGTGTTGATCATCCTGAGTATCTTTTTTTTCCATTCTGACTCCCTCTTCTATTTTACTTTTTGTGTAACCATCCGACTCTCTCTTCGATTCCAGCATTTTATTCTTACCTAATCCACACTGACAGCAATGGTACATGCCTTTCCACCAAAAAAATTAAAATTAAAAAACCTTACCCCATCACATCTTGCAGCAATCATGCATGGCTTGCCACCAAAAAATAATTAAAAAACCTTACCCCATCACATCTCGCAGCAATGATGCATGGCTTGCCACCAAAAAATAATTAAAAAAACCTTACCCCATCACATCTCGCAGCAATGATGCATGGTTTGCCACCAAAATATAATTAAAAAAACAAAAATCTGGAACATGTTTGTCTTTGTTTGATGCCAGCTTGCCCGTTGCTTTTCTTCTTTTGCTCAGCCTTCCCATGCGTTTTCCACTGTTTTGCCACGCGTCGATCATCGTGGATAAGTTCTCTTCAATTGCATCTCTCCAAATCTCCTTCAGTTTCCAGTTGCTTTCCTTTTCTCAACCTTTGGTTTCCGATCTTCTCATCTTTCTCATTTTTCTCTGCCAAATCATATGTGCAAATTTCTTGCGTTTAAAACCCTTTGGAAAAATAAATAGTTGTTGCATCCTCCGTTTAAAATCCCTGGGTTAGTACTGATTTTGTTGGTTTTTGGATTTTATCAGGGTGGATTTGTTTATATTCTTAGATCTATTGTTTGGTTGTATGATTTGCTTCTGTGTTTTGTTTCAGGTCACTGTGCTCTTCGTTCCTCGAAAAAGAGATAATAAATGCACGCTGATGGAAATATATAGGTTGTATGATTTCCTTCTGTGTTTTGTTTCAGGTCACTGTGCTCTTCGTTCCTCGAAAAAGAGATAATAAATGCACGGTGATGGAAATATATATCCTTAGATCTATTGTTTGGTTGTATGATTTGCTTCTGTGTTTTGTTTCAGGTCACTGTGCTCTTCGATCCTCGAAAAAGAGATAATAAATGCACGGTGATGGAAATATATATATATATATATATATATATATATATATATATATATCAGCATGTTTTGGTTTACATTACGCCATGTGTTGATCATCCTCTTCTATTTGAGAGGCAGACAGAGTTAAAGATGGATGCCTTGCAGTTGCCCGATGGCAGTAACCAAAGCCCAGTCCTTGAAAAAGAGATAATAAATGCACGGTGATAGAATATATATATTTATATTTATATATATATCAGCATGTTTTGGTTTACATTATGCCACGTGTTGATCATCCTCTTCCATTTGAGAGGCAGACAAAGGAAAAGCTGGATGCCTTGCAGTTGCCTGGTGGCACTAACCAAAAGCTCATTCCTCGAAAAAAGAGATAATAAATGCGAAGTAGCAGAAATATATATATATATATATATATATATATGTATGTATGTATGTATGTATGTATAAATATATATTTAGCAGGGCATAAAAGATAGTCCAAGGTCATGATGCGAGGTGGGAGAAAAACAAAAAGATAAAAAAAAAATATATATATATATATTATATTGGCTAGGACAAACCACGTGTTAATGATCCCATGCATTTGGCCTTTTAGCTCTTCGCTTTTATATTTCTTTTCTTTTCTGCACGTTTCCTCTCTCATTTGTCTTTCTTTTTGGTTTCGACTTCGGCGTTTTCTCCCCTCTCTGTGTCGCTGCTTGCAAATTTGGGTTTGTAAGCTCTTCTCTTTTATTTCTCTTCTCTTTGCTGCACGTTTGCTGTCATATTTTCTTTTCTTTTCTTCTTTTTTTTAGCTTCGGGCTTATGTTTTTTCTCCTCTTTTGGTATTTGCTGCTTGCAAATCTAAATTTGTAACTTCGGTGCTCAATCTGGGTTTGTAAGTTTGGTCCTCATTTTTGTTGTGCTTTTTGCTTTCCATTTTGTTTTGCTTTGGAGTTTTTGTTTTTCCTTTGCAGTTGTGATGTTGTTTTGCTGTTTATGATGTTCTTTCATTGGAGCGTGCATTTTCATGTTTTTTTTTTTTTTTTTTTTTGGGAAACAGGTGCTGTCTTGAGGTTTTGTGGCTGGAGTTCTTGCTTCCTTTTGTCAGGTATTAAGTTTTTTTTACTTTTTCCTTTTATCAATTGACCTGGGTGTTATATCATACGTTTTAGTGTTCACTTAATTTTTTATTTTTTATTTTTAATCTGATTGGTTTTACTTCTGTTTAGACTGTACTATGGTATCTTTTAATATATCACGCTATATAAGTGTTATATATACTATATCAAATGTTGTTATTAAAGTGGTGGTAGTGATGCTTTTGTTAATATGGATTGTGTGTTGTTAAAAGTGAAGAAGGTGATGTTTCTGTTATAACCAAATAAGAACACTATTAAATTAATTGTTTTTCCTGCTGCAATTTAACAACAATTCCGCCTTTTCTTATACGGATTTATTTGTGATGCAACGTTTGTATTTGTATGTTTTGTTTTGTTAACTAGATTATACTATTTTGTACAGACCTATTTAATGTTGACTATTTGTTGTATCAAAATCATCTCAATGCTTAATCAAATTTGATAGGATCAACAAATGATTTTTTTTATCTGATTGTATTAATCAAAAGAGACTGACAACTTATTTAATAAATGTATGTGTTTTTATTTCACTATTATTATTGAATAACTGATCTCGCTCAAAATCAAATTTCAATTATAGTTTTTTTTTTATCCCTTTATAATATTTATAAAAATGCATATATTGTGACTGGTATTTTAAATCTCCTTGGGTGCACGGTTTATAAATTTATAAATATTTCGTTTCTATAGATTAAATGGAAAACGAAGGTCCAACTCCGCTTGATCAATTGGCGGCATATAAAAAGATTGTCAGAATTCCAGTTTTAATGTTCTTTTTATGTGTTGTCTTTGCTTTCATAAATTGATACCTTATTGTTGATAAAACTGATTTGGTTTTGCAGACCATAATTTTTAATCAACAAAATTAAGCTGAAAATTAAATTGAGGTATGAATGCTTCCACTTATTCAGGTTATTCAATTGATATTTTCCTTTATTGGATTTTATTTTTGAATGTTGTTTGATAAAACTAATTTGGTTTTGTAGATTAAGATTTTTAAGCGAGAAATTCAATTGAAATTGTAATGAATTTGCAAATTTGTCAAGTATATCTTACATTCGTGGTTCCATATTCACTTTACCCATAACTATTGAATTTTCTATCTTGACTGGATGGATTTTTATAGTTTTCAGGATCTACAGTTGTAATGCCTTTGATGGATAAAACAGAGGACCCAGCTACTCTTATAGAGCTTCTTTAGCATTGTAAGTTAAAATTGCATATCATTTTTTTTGTTTCATGGAATTCATTATGTTTAATAGCATACCAATTATGTGATAACAATCGTTATCTTAGCAGTTTCTAACAATTTGTAAAGTACGGATAAATGTGTAGAAGTTTGAATTATACATATGAAAGTTTCATCTATTATACTCTTTTACTAATTTTTGTTACACAATCAATCATTCACAGGTAATGCTATTCAGAGTGGTTCAAAGAATTTCAAGAGCCTCATTCATTCAATTTATGCTCTTCATGTAAAAATTCTTTCAATAAGTTCAAATATCTTTCGATGTAGATAACATTAACATTTTGTAACAATATATTATAGCTTTGAAACATTTTTTTCATACGATTTTTAATCCCGCAGCAACGCGCGGGCAATATTTCTAGTAAATACTATTGATCCAATGCTTAAATTTAAAAACTATAGATAATGTGTCAATATACTTATTGATAATGTGAATACAACCAAGAGACTTGAATGTAAATATGACAAAAATGACTTACATTGGCACACCCCGATCGAGACTCAAAACATTCAATATACATCAGAGCTTCAACGAAAATAATTTACAATGAAGGACAACAATTCTTGCTCTTGAAATCTTTCTCTAATCGCTACATGGTACTCTGCAAAACAACCCTACATATTGAGAATAACACTACAAACAAAGCAAAAAACTCTAAAAGCTGAAAGCTCATATGTGTGACAATAATGCAACATGTATGATTGAAAGTACAATCATAGTGCTACGTGGTACTCTGCAAAACAACCCTACATATTGAGAATAACACAACAAACAAAGCAAAAACTATAATAAGCTGAAAGCTCATATGCGTGACAATAATACAACATATATGATTGAAAGTACAATCATAGTTTGAAAACACAAAAGTTGAAAATACATACTTTCTTCGTTAAGGCACCGTTTATTGAACAATTTTCGCATACGCACTCGTGAGGTCGAGCTCTATCTAACCAACTCAAGATATGACCAAAAAAATCTAGTAAAATTTGAAATAAGCAAAATACGCCTAACTTCACTTTTGTCTAAACTAGATAATTTAACGACTAATTTTAGTTAAATCTTCGAAATACTTCAAAAATAAAATAAATCACTAAAATTCAGGACCGAATATCACATACATGCACCACTTGAAAATACCACCTTTGAATTTTAGGCTAATGATTCAATGTCATGTATAATCTTTATCTTTCAAACAAATATTATTATTAAAGTGAGGTTGATGGCTCAAAGTTATTACAATAATTTTAAAATATGAGAATTTCAAACTCATATCGCATGAGTAAAGGCTTAATACACTAACCAAAAAATACTGAACCATATTTTGTAAATAAAATTGCGATATTAATTTAGAATAGGGTAAAGTACAAAAAACTACCTAAACTATTGGTGTCACGACACTTTCATACCTCATCTTTTAAAATTGACAATGACATACCTCATCTTACGAAATTGTGTCAATATTAGACCTCTATTAGTTTTTCTGTTAAATGCTAATGTGACCAGGAACATGACCCATTTTTATTAAAAAAATAATTAAATATTAAAAAAAAAAAAAAAAAAAAAAAAACCAGATCCCCTTAACCCAAAAATCTTTCCCACCCGTCCCCCCTAACCTTCCTCTCCGATCCCACCGACGACAACCCTACCTCTGTCGTTGACTCCAGCGATGACAGCCACGACCCCCAATCGCCCCTAAACCCTAACTCTAGCCACAACGTCCACAACAACATTCCCTTCTCCTTCTTGCCCCCGACGTCTGCCCCTCATGCAATTTGCGAGAGAAAAACAAAACAATAACAACAACAATCCCAATAGAAAAACTCTCCCTTTTTCCCAGAAAATACCGAGATTTTCCTAGAAAATTAGAGGAGGCGCGAGAAACAAAGAGAGAGTTGTGATCTGAGAGTGTCTCTCTTTGGTTTGAGTTTCTGATAAGTGGTGTATATAGGCGGGTCGGATGAGGAGGAGAGAGTGGAGGTGAAGTCCATGGAGATGGGTTTTGAGAGGGCGAAGCCTCTGCACAATTTCAACTTGCCGTGGTATTTAAAGTAGGGGGAACCAGAAGCACCTGTGGTGCCAGAAGGAGAGCTCTGACGCCAGCGGGTGTGGCGGGGAAGAGTCTGGGGTTAATTGGCGATCGTCGGCTCAGAGGATTGAGAGCTTGCCGGCGATGATGACTCAGGTGGGAATGGTTTCTGGGTTTTGGGATTTTAGGGATGCAGGTTGCAGGGAGAGAGAAGAGAGAGAGGCGTGAGAGAGGAGAGATGAGAGATGGTTGGGTGAGGGAGAACTCAGAGAAGGGGATCTAGGTTTTTGGGGAGGGGGACACGGGTTGATGGGTATTTTTTGGTTTATTGTTTATTGTTTTTAATTTTTTTAATATTTAATTTTTTTTATGATAAAAATGGGTTTCGTTTCTGGCCACATTAGCATTTAATAGAAAAAGTAACATAAAAATTGACGGAGGTCTGACATTGGCACAAATTCGTAAGATGAGGTATGACATTGTCAATTTTAAAAAATGAGTTATAAAAGTATCACGACACTAATAGTTGAGATGATTTTTTGTACTTTACCTTATAAAATATTATCATAATGACGAACTCAACGTAGGTAAGTCCTTTCTCAAAGGAACCCAAAAAATTTCCATAAAAAACCAAATAGGAAGAGAGAGAGAGAAAAAAAAGGGGAGAGAGAGAGAGAGAGAGCGTTTTGGTGCGTGACTGCGTGTGAAGCCAAAAAGGGCAAAATACTAGACCGTACGACGGTCTCTTTTAGAGAGAAAGCAATTAAGCTTCTCCATCACTGTGAAGAAACCGTCGCCGCTCTCTCTCTCCTCCTTCCCTCACACTCTCTTCAACTCGATCGAGCTTCTCCGATCCTTCTAGGCCTCTCTAGAAGGGCGGTGGGATTCCTGTACAGCTCTCCCTTTCCTCCTTCACCTATTCCCCACAGTTGCTGCAGGTGTACAGAAACCCAACACTCGTCGTTTTGTGATGGACTTGTACGGACGAAGCCCCGCCAGAAACGGGTCGAACCAGGAATGGAGCCCCGCCGCCGGTGAGACCGGCCTCGAAGGTACTCCTTTACTTGCTCGGCGTTTCAATTTCGTTTCGTTTGAGCTCGATTTGGGGCTAATTTCGTAAATGGGGTTTCTAGGGTTTTGGGTTTGGTTTGGTAATGTGGGGGGGTGTGATTGGGGTTTTGTTCTGATTTGGGGGTAAATTGTAGAGCAAATGTGGCAATTGGGGTTGACGAGCAGCGAATCGTACCCGGAGCGACCCGCCGTGCCCAATTGTGTTTACTACATGCGAACCGGGTTCTGTGGATATGGTGGTCGGTGCCGGTACAATCATCCTCGTGATCGTGCCGCTGTAAGTCCTTGTTCGTTGTTAAATTTCATTGCAACCAGTTAATGAGCTTTGTCAAGACTGCTTAATTGTGGGTTTTGATATGTAAACTAGTACTTAAGCTTTCAGTGATAGATGACTGCAACAGGACATATTTCGTAAGTTTGAGTGTTTTGTGGAGGTAGTTTTTGTCCCTTTACCTGAAACTAGATGATTGTTTGTTTCCTGGGAAAGCTGGGGAAAAGAAATGGGAACTTTTTTTGGAATGATATGTTTTTCGTGCTTTTATTCGACCTAGTTAAATGAGTCTATATTCGATGAAAATATTAGGCCTAATATTTGTGTTTTGGGCTCGGTGGAGTGGGCAATGTTGTCTTAGTGACATACAACTGCTTGGATTTTACTGGTTAACTGAAATTGTCTTTGATTGTTAATTTTGTTATCCTTTGTTTATGACTTCGGTTTGATGCTGCACATAGGTCGTGGCAGCTGTAAGAGCTACGGGGGACTACCCAGAGAGAGCGGGGGAACCTATATGTCAGGTATGCAGTAGTTTTCTGCTCCGTTGTAAAATGTGAATTTCCTGCCTGATAATGAGAATCTAGATCTGGAAACTTTACGGCAACTTGGTTCTGTTGTCAATTTATTTATTTGAGCTTTGAACTTCATGTGTCATTGTGACATTTGTTTGCCTGATATGCAGTATTATTTAAAGACTGCGACCTGTAAATTTGGCGCATCCTGCAAGTTCCACCATCCAAAACATGGAGCTGGATCCTTAAGCCGAGCTTCCCTAAATATCTATGGATACCCATTACGACCGGTTTGAATTTCCTCTCTGTCTCTGTCTCTCTGTCTCACTGCCTCTCTCATCCACATAAGGGTGTGTAGACTTTCGAGAAATTTGTGTAGCTAGTGGCTCACAGTTTTTTATTTTTTCATAACAGGGTGAGAATGAATGCTCCTACTATTTGAAAACGGGGCAATGCAAATTTGGCACAACCTGTAAATTCCATCACCCGCAGCCTGCTGGAACAGCAATACCGGCTTCTGCACCTCAATTTTATCCGTCGGTGCAGTCTCCTTCTGTTCCTTTGGCAGAACAGTATGGGGGGGCATCCACCAGTTTGAGGGTGGCTAGGCCTCCACTATTACCTGGATCATATGTGCAAGGGGCGTACGGTCCTGTCTTAATTCAACCAGGAGTTGTTCCTATTCAGGGTTGGAGTCCTTATTCGGTACGATAAAAACATGTTTAGGTTGATATATGATTGAAATTCATTGCTAATAAGTTATTGCTTTACTTGGTGCAGGCACCTCTTAGTCCTGTACTATCACCTGGAGCTCAACACACAGTTGGAGCAACTTCTTTATATGGAGTAACACAGCTATCTTCTCCAACACACGGACTTGCAAGACCTTATACCTCCATACCCTCTTCTATTGGTCCTTCTAGCAGCAACCCGAGTGAACAAGTTTTCCCAGAGAGGCCTGGCGAACTTGAATGCCAGTACTATCTGAAAACTGGGGACTGTAAATATGGAGCATCTTGTAGGTATCATCATCCTCGGGATCGAACTATACCAAGGATAACTTGTCTCCTTAGCCCGATGGGTCTCCCACTCCGTCCGGTATGCAAAGTTGTTTTATATTCATCTTGATGAATCTTTAATTTTTCTAAATTCCGCTGTTAGAAGTTATTGAGTTCATACTCACCTGGTTATCCAATTTGGTAGACCCAATATTTTTCTTTTACTCCGTTAAACAGTATTCTTTTCCTAAAGGGGATTGTGGGATGCTACTATCACATCTAAAAGTATACCTGGTCGACCTCCTTTGTACAACCAAATGAAATACAAAAGTAGGTAGCAAAGAAAAGGCTGTCATACCATCCATATAGGTTGTGTAAACATGTTTTTCAGTAATTTGTTAACGATGTCATATTCTATGGAAAAAATTAATGTGCTTTTATTTGGACAGGGAGTGCAACCGTGTACATTCTACCTGCAAAATGGTCAGTGCAAGTTTGGATCTACATGCAAATTCGATCATCCAGTGCAGACCATGAGGTACAACCCCTCAGTTTCATCTCTCGTTGATATGCCTGTTGCTCCGTATCCGGTTGGGTCTCTGCTGGCCACCCTGGCTCCATCATCCTCATCATCAGATCTTCGGCCCGAATTACTTTCAGCTTCCAAAATGGATACTTACTCAGCTAGAGTGCCCTCTTCCGGGAACGCCTCAAGTAGTTCAGTTGGATTGATTTTTTCTCAGAGCGGTTCTGTTTCACTGTCTGATGTGCAACTGTCCACTCAGACTTCATCCCCTTTAAGCAATAGCAGAAGCACGAGACCAGTTGGCGAGCTTCGTCGATCAAGTTAAACGTAATACCCAAAGTCAGCTTGTTCATTATCTCCAGGATCGCGGTTTCACCAAGGCTCTTTCTGTTTATATAGACGTCGTCGGTAAATGTATAATCGGGTCAATTGTGCAAAGGGTGTCATATTTCGGTCTTTCAACCCAAATCTGTTTATCCCACACTAGTAGGAAAGGCACACACACTGTTGATGCTTGTGTCAATTCGATATTACAGGAATCCAATATAAATTCCAAATAAAGCTGCAGTATCGAAATTTCCCATGTCTTCTTTTCCTCTCTTCCAACTTCAAGTGATTACAATTATAAACTATGCCTGCAATTTTTACTCTATTTCATAATGTTTGATGAGGACCGCTTTTTGACAGCCAAAAGTGCTTCTGACTACGCTTCCAGGTGCTTTTTTTAAGAAACACTAGGATCGTTATTACAAATTTCAGAGCATTTATAAGAAAAGCGCTTGTAAGTGCGTACGTATGAGTAGACGTGCTTCATGCTACCTAATGGCCCAGCTCATTCAACGATGCATTTTCCGAATTCACTAGGTAGGGGATTGATAAGCCGGAGGAAGGTGAGGATGATGTCAAGTTATCATTCTCCACCCCTTACGCCCCAGGCAACACGTGCTATAATGTCCCGAACCGTTAATAATCGTCGGTCAGTCATACGACGGTAAACTCATTCTCATGCCCCATGCCAGAAGGGAAGAGAGGATGCTACGTTAAGTTGCAAGCCATTGAATCCCTCCAATGATATATATCTCTGAATGTATGCAAGAATCTCTCCGTTCACTTAGTCACTCGTGATTTGATGTCATGTTTGCGCCTAAAAAAACAAATTAAAGCAAGAAATAAACTGGAATTAATTAGTGCACCCAGCGGAACAGGGCACTCCAATTTCTTCTCTTTCCCCTGCCGTCTGTAGCAATGTTGAAGCAGCATATGGATTGGACCAATTGCCAACTGTTCACAAAGAAAGAGAATTTAACTTGACGGTCGATTTTCTAGAGAAAGACTTCCATGACACATATACATTTCTCTTTACTGATTTGTACAGATTATAAGTTTTTACTAACGTAACGTTGTATCATTAACGCGAAACGCCATAGTAACAGTTTACCGTGCCTTTGAATTTTGACTGAGTACGACTAATCTTTAAATGTTGTTCACCACCTACCGATCATCCAGCAAACACAAAAGAAAAAGAATTGATGGGGTTATCATTGCCAACCGATCAACTCAATCCAAGGCCATCATGAGTCCAACAACGTCACATCGAGAGCACTGAGTACCACAAATATATGTACAAGCAAATTTAATACAAGCATGTGTTGCCGAGGTAATTCATTTATATAATCCTCTATATGGTGCAGTTACGCATTACAGATGGATGAAATTGTAGTGGACGAGATTATGTGATATGGGTATACATTCCTTATGGAATACAGTTAAACATCTATAAATTAAAGAAATTATTATTGACACTCAAAATTTTAATTGTACAGTCCAAATTTTATATATTTAGAAAAAAAAAATGTTCTCATGAGAAGTGCACCTTGCACGATTAGATTTTTATAGTGTCAAATGATGATTTCCTAAATTAATAGTTTTGGACCAAAGGAATCTATTAATTTAGTGGAAAATTAAGTAATTGATAAATTAATAATTCATTATTTTATGAAAGTATTCTTTATTTTTTAAGATATTGTACATTCTATTTAATTTCTCGTTCTGTAAACTAACAATTCTATATATTTGTTTAACTAATTAAAATTCATGAGTCTAATTACTTTTTTTTCAAAAATAGATTGTACATTGTTCAAGATGATGAAGTCGGAGATGCTAGTTTTACTATAGAGTATGGAGCCCATTTTGCGAAAAGAAGCTCTTAAAGTGGCAATGACATTGAATAATATCATGTTGTAGGCTTGTAGTACGAGAAAACCACGTCAGAACTTCTTATTATGTTAAGAAAAGTTAGAGATAAGATACAAGATAACATCAATTTCAAGAAAAAATAAATAATAATTGAGTCATATTTTATGAAGGCCTCATAGTCAAATCATACATGTATCAGAAAATTATTAATTTATATATTATGTAGGATCTATATGAATTTTTAATAATATATATTATCTAATAATTATAACGAATTATTAATTTAGCACGTTATCTCCAGATTGGTCAAAAAATTATTTAACGAGATTATAAATTTATTGATTTTTAAATTATGGAGGTTCTACTGTATACGATGGAAATGCATGTTTGGTTCTCGAATTTCCTTATAGTTTAAGTGGATGCATTATGGTTCTCATTATATCAGGTAAACCCACTCATCCTTTAAATCTCTACTTTAATTAGCTTTACACATAATTAGGGACTTAATTAAGCAAAAGCTTTAACCGAGTAGCTATTACAATCCCAAAAGCACTGCAATCCTCTCAGAAATCCTGCAAAATTCCCTCACAAACATTAACCATGTAAAAGCAATTCACCACTCACTCCCTCTGACTACCTTTCACCGAAAAGTGCTTTTGCAGCTGCAATTCCTTGACTTTTTAGATTCAAAACCTCATCACAGGCACTCATTAAAGTAGTTATATTGTATCAAAGTCCCCTCCCCTTTGTTCCTGCATGGTTTCATGTGACTTTCTCTTCTCCAGCAGCATTTTTCTTTTTCTCTCTTCCCTCAAACCATCCCTCAGAAAAATGCTGCAATGTGGAACTGGAAAGTGAGATTTCTGAGATGGGGTTTTTGTTAAACCGCTTATGGTGGGAAATCTGAGATGGGGTTTTAGTTGAAAGTGCTTATGTTGCTGAAAGTTTGAGTCCTTTAAACTTTTTTTGTAGTGGGATTTGGTGGTGCAGGGTTTTGAGTGGGAATTTATGAACATAAGGTGTTTGAAAAATTGAGAAATCTGATATGGGCTTTTAGTGAAAGTGCTTGTACTGTTGAAACTTTGGGACTCTTGAAATTTTGTAGTGGGACTGGAGCTGCAGGATTTTGAGTGGGAACTCTGATCGTAAGGTGGTCGAGGAAAGATGGGGGCCGTCACCATTGGTGAACTGAAGCCTAGCATTTCCGGGAAGCGGTCTATTCGGCCGAGTTCAAGCATAAGGCATGCCACTGAATGGTAATGTTCCCCCTTATCTTCTGCTTTTTTTTTTTTGAGCGATATTCTAGTCTAATCTAAAATAGTAAAATGTGGGAGGGGAAATTGAACTTGGGTGCATATTGTGGTAGCCAACTTTGCTACGCCTAGTTCCGTTTTCGTCCATCTCTTATAATCTTATTACTTTTGATAGATTACCTGCATTTAATTTTCTGTTTTTCAATTTTAGCCTTATTTTCTCTAGCTTTGAGCCATATGGTAGTTTCCACTTACCAGTAACTCTACGTTACACGGATACGGATAGCGGGATACAACACGAAAGGACACGAAAATAAAGTTTATTTTTTAGCATCTTTTTTGGGATTTGAGTGTCAAAACAGAGCCTGTGTTTTTCAAACAGTCTGCGACTCTGAGAGGTTCTCTGAATTTAAGGAAGACAATTACATTTCATGGTCACACAATAAATCCTTTGAGTTTCTGCTCAGACAGTACGAAATCGAAACGACAATGGCACGAGGTGGACCGGGCTGATTGCTGTCCAGATGCAGCCAAATTTCGCTATCAACATTCTTGAAGTGCCAACTGCCACCCCAAATTAATTTTTTGTGGATCAATTATTTGTTGTACGTTTACCATCTGTAGGCCCTGAAGACATGAACAGACCAGTTGTGCAAATTGTCCATTGGTTCTGGCTTTATTCAGCGTCACTCTTACACCGCCACGTAGAATAATGAATCCGCTCAGCTAGGTTGGCTAATCCCGAGGGCCCCATTTGGTCAATCTTTTCCAATTCTGCAGCACAAGAAGTTCTGCAGACTTCAATCAGCTTTCTTATCCTTGACCATAATCTAACATTACTCTTCGTGTGCAAACTCAAATCCACCACTCATTTCGCAATTATTGGGCCGTCCTTCTGTAGCGAGTCACTATGATTACATCGAGGGAGGATCACGCTGTCCATATGTTTGGATTGAACTTGAAACTGTGTGTAGTGTACTTCCATGGAAAATACAGAGGTTCCTTGCAGGGTTTTTGATATGTTGGCACACATGAGAATGTATGCATGTTGTAGTTCTAGATTGTAGCAGATTTTGATTCTTTCCTCGCTTCGATTCCATTTTTCAACAAATTTTGTCTTTGTCACAGGCCAATCTCCGATGTTTCTAGCGATCTTACCGTGGAGATAGGAGCATCAAGCTTTGCACTTCACAAGGTGAGTGAAATTGGTTCAGAACTAGTCTATTGTTTCAATTTGTTGCAGTTACAAAATAATTGTTGCGTTTTATTAGCTTGTGATAAGATATTATCGTGCGACAATTAAATGAAAAATATGTCGAATTATGAAAGCAAGGAGAATTGGTAATGTGATGGTGACTATGTTGCAGTTCCCTCTAGTGTCTCGGAGTGGAAAGATTCGGAAGCTGTTGCTTGAAGCAAAAGATTCAAAAGTTTCGCGCATAATTCTTGCTTCTGTTCCGGGTGGACCAGAGGGATTTGAGCTAGCTGCGAAATTCTGTTACGGAGTTAATGTTGAGATTACGCAATCAAATGTTGCCACGCTTCGTTGCGTAGCGCACTTTCTGGAAATGACGGAAGAGTATGCTGAGAAAAACATGGAAACCAGAACTGAAGCTTATCTGAAGGAGACGGTTTTCCCAAACATATCAAAGTCGATATCAGTTCTTCATCGCTGCGAAACCCTCTTGCCTGCAGCAGAAGAAACCAACTTGGTAAGCAGGCTTATCAACGCAATTGCAAACAATGTGTGCAAAGAGCAGCTCACCTCTGGCTTATTGAAACTTGACCACAACTTTCCTGCGAAAGTGGCTTTAAATATGCAACCTGAAACGCCTGCAGACTGGTGGGGAAAAGCGCTTACAGTGCTTAGTCTCGACTTCTTCAAACGTGTTATATCCACGGTGAAAACCAAGGGTCTTAAACAGGATATGATCAGCAAAATTTTGATCAACTATGCTCATAATTCTCTACAAGGACTTGTCATCCGAGATAACCAATTGGTAAAAGGAAGCCTTTTGGATTTAGAATTGCAAAACAAACAAAGTGTCATTGTTGAAGCTATAGTCAGTTTGCTTCCAACACAATCAAGGAAGAGTCTAGTTCCAATGGCATTTCTTTCGAGCTTGTTGAAAACTGCGATTGCAGCATCGTCGTCTGTTTCCTGCAGTTCCGATTTAGAGAGACGGATTGGTCTGCAGCTGGATCAGGCAATTCTCGAAGACATCCTGATTCCGGCAAATTCACATGGAAACAACCACAGCACAATCTACGACACAGATGCTGTATTGAGGATCTTTTCGATATTTCTGAACTTGGATGAGGATGATGATGATGAAGATAATCGTTTGAGGGACGAAAGAGAAATGGTTTATGATTTCGACAGCCCTGGGTCTCCTATGCAAAGTTCGATCCTGAAAGTATCAAAGTTGTTAGACAATTATCTTGCAGAAGTTGCACTGGACTCGAACTTGATGCCGTCAAGGTTCATAGCTCTAGCAGAACTACTTCCAGACCATGCTCGAATAGTAAGCGATGGACTCTACCGAGCTGTGGATATCTTCCTCAAAGTGAGTAATACATATCCATCCAACGGCTAGAATGGAGAGAGGCGTGCAGGGGAGAAAAACGGAGTGCAGAAATAATTTCCCTTTAAAATTTGTGAATGCATTTTTCTTCTCAAGATGTTGATCAATACCAATCTGGATTTGTGTTTCCTTTTATAGGTCCATCCGAATCTCAAGGACTCTGAACGCTACCGCCTCTGCAAAACCATCGACTGCCAGAAACTATCCCAAGAAGCATGCAGTCACGCGGCACAGAATGAAAGGCTACCGGTACAAATGGCAGTTCAAGTGCTCTACTTTGAGCAAATCAGGCTCAGAAACGCAATGAACGGTGGCCACAACCAGTTCTTCTTCGGCGCAATTAACGGTGCACAATTCCCTCAAAGATCAGGCAGTGGTGCAGGCAGCGGAGCCATTTCACCGAGAGACAACTACGCGTCAGTCCGAAGAGAGAACCGCGAGCTGAAGCTTGAAGTTGCGAGAATGCGAATGAGGCTGACGGACTTGGAAAAAGATCATGTTTCTATGAAACAAGACCTTGTAAAGTCACATCCTGCAACCAAGCTGTTCAAAGCATTCGCCAAAAAGTTGGGGAAGCTCAATGCATTGTTCAAGATCAATAGCATCAACCCTCTTGGGGGCAAGGCGCGTTCGGAGTCCAGATTTCCGTTCCAGAAGCGAAGGCGCCATTCGGTTTCTTGAAAAACTAGGGAGTGTGAATATGTATACAGAGTGTTACAAGAGTGTGTAGTATATAACTGCTGTATTAGCATATGATCATACATTAGTGTGGTGGGTTTTCTAAGTTATAATATAAGTTTGACAGTTTTTTTTCAGTGTATTTGAGATTCTATTTGTTATATATATAACATGAATATCACAGCTCCCTTGAACTTTTGGTGAAACATTTTCTATTCATGTTATAATATGTGAGTTAGTAACATCACGTGACTGTGTAACGGTTATTCTTAAAAGCTTTTTATGTTTAAGACAAACGATAAGATCATGTTCGTTGTAAGCCCCAACAAGAATTCTTTGTGCACGTTGTCTCATTCTATTGACATCGTTAAAAATTGTATTGATAGCATGTTGGTACAGTTTGTTTATGACTTCGACACATTTTTTTTAATTACAATTATGATAATATCATAAAAAAATGTGTTGGCATTATTGCCATATCAAACTGTACCAACATGTTATCATATATCAATACATTTTTAATGACGTCCTTGAGATGCGACATCCTAGTATCCTACACAAAGAATTCCTGTTGAGTTCTATCTTACATTTATTTAATAAATATTATAATGATTGAAAACATAACAAGTCGACTCTGTGGCCCAATGGATAAGGCGCTGGTCTACGAAACCAGAGATTCTGGGTTCGATCCCCAGCAGAGTCGTTTTCTTTTAATTTTTTTAATTAAACTTCCCTCCTTTTTTTTCGCTCATTTGCCGCTTCGCGCGTTTTAGAACAAAGGGAGACGGCGGCGCATCATCGTCGATCAATCGGGAGAGAGAGAGAGAGAGAGAGAGAGATGAGCAGGTTGTATTTTCCCTTCTCCAGAATCTTCAGGTACCTCCTCGTAAAACCCTAATCTAAATTTTTAAATTTTTTTCCTTTGTTTCTTCGCTTCAATTTTAGGGTTTTCGAACGATTCCGAAAAAATGGCTGATAGTACGATTCTAAACCTGCTTGGTTTTCTGTAGTTAGATTTTTGTTTTATTAACCCTAATTTTCCTTTAAAGTTCAAAGCTTTGAATTTAAATTTGTCTGTTGGTTTCGGTTTCTGCATATCCCAGATTTGTTAGATTAATCTAGGGCATATGGGAATTTTCATTGGCCGTAGTTGTTTGGTAAAATTAATTTACTTTCGGCTGTAAAATTCTCATCAAGAGTTTCAAGCTGGGATGGTTATATGAACGGTAAAAGATACAAATTTGCAGCTTTCCGGTATTTGCATTGGTGTCATGTTTTGCAGAGTGGGGTGAACTGATTAATCTGAGATTAACCCGCTGTCCCGACCCTGATCGTGCCGTGTTCCCAAGTTGAAATTGCTTGCTGGCCGGTGGAGAAGGATCCGTTTTCCCTGTTTAATCTCCCTTTGTAATGACAGAGGGAATTTGATTCGCCTGTTGGGGTCATGAATTAAACGAAAACTGTGTCCTTCGCTGTCTCTCTGATGCCCTGTGTATCGAATTCTTGATATAAACTAGTTCTGATGGCCCTAAAAGTTATGTATCCGAGAGAAGGGAGTGATGTTGCTGCATTGGTGTCATGTTTTGTAGAGTGGGTGAACTGATTAATCTAAGATTAACCCGCTGTCCTGACACTGATCGTGCCATGTTCCCAAGTTGAAATTGCTTGCTGCTGTGGTGAAGGAACTGCTTTCCCTGTTTAATCTCCCTTTGTAAGGACAGGGGAATGCGAAGGGTTTTGTTAAAACCTCAGGATTGTTTTAATTGTGGGGTTTTTCATCTGTTGGGGTCATGAATTAAACGAAAACTGTGTCCTTCGCCGTGTGTAATAGTAGGGGTTGAATTTGTGTCTTCTCTGACACCCTGTGTATCGAATTCTTGCTATAAACTAGTTCCGATGGCCTTAAAAGTTATGTATCTGAGAGAAGGGAGTGATGTTTCTGCTGAATGTCAGTTGTGCGCTTGACGTCTTTCATTCTATATTTTGCAAGTTTTTTCTAACGATGTTATCTTATTTTTCATTTGCATTTAATTGGGATTATTTCCTGTTTATTGTTGCTTAAGGCAGCTGGAGCGAGAGATGGAAACTGTGGTGAAAGTACTGCAGCCTGGACCTTTAGGGATCATAGAACACAAGTTCTCTGCTGAAGAGATACGCAAGGCAAATGCTACAGTTCAGAGGGCAGTGGAAAACTGGCGACGGAATGCGATCCTAGAGCAGACAAATCCTTTCTTGAAAGATTACATTCGGAAGTGAAGGATCTGCTCAAGCCATTTTTCATGGGTAATCGAACAACCAAACTTTTTTGAATAGAAAACTTCTCTCTTCCTCAGCAGAACTTTTCACCAAAGTTGAAGAAAGGCTCTCTTAGTTTCTTCACCCTTTCGCTGTTTGCGAGAAGTTAGAACCTGTTTGCAGTGCATTTATCTCTTTCCTAGTTTTGTTTGTTATGTGTTTTGATTAAGAAGGAAATGCTTTATTTGGTTTAGTTTAAATAATTACTCGGTAGCGAAATATCCATATATCCCATCTTCCGCAGATGTTAAATTGTGGACACACTGTGTAATGTTGACATTGATAAGGTAATAAAAGTCTGCATATGTATGTGCCGGTTGTAGTTATGATCTCTGAGCACTGAATTTATTTGTTCCTCACCAAATGCTCATGATCCGTGTGACTCTCATCATATTTGTTCCTCACCGAATGCTTATGATCCGTGCAACTCTTATCGCACTTATTCCTATCCTTTGCATGGTAATTTACGGAAATGGATTTTTAACCATATATTGTGAACAAGAAGGATAGTTTGAGATGTGCTACAGCTTGTGCGGGAATGTCAACTTTAGTGAATATATTTTTCAGAACCAGAATAAAGCAAAGCAAAATGCAAGACCTATTCGTGGCATCCTAACCACGAATTAGAGAACCTAAGGTCTATTTTCGATGGATTTCCTTTGAGCATGAGGTAAGTTCAGCATTTATAAGTTTCATATTTTTATGACTCGTAATTCTTAATCGAGGATATATGCTGAGCAGTTGTAGAACTATTGCAGTTAAAGTATTTGACTACTCTCTGTTTTATTAAACATGCATATAATATAGTTAAGGGAGAATACAGGAACTGAAAACATACAAGCTCATCCTCTTCAACAAGTGGAACTAACTTCGGCCTTGCCCAGAAAAAGAAGAAATCAAGGGTAGTACTAGTACAAGATAAATGAGGTGAAAAAAGCTTGTATACATCGACACCGACTACCATTCGTGATACCAACCGAAAGGAGAAATGCAAGGAGGGAATCGAAAAAACTGTTATTTGAGCTTTGTTAAGTAGTGTAGATCTGGATTTTAGAGTATAACTTTTGTTATAGATACATGAGGATGTTTCAGGTTCTGATCCAAACCCAAATAGCATTGGACCTTATGAGCATTGGGGCAAGCTGGTTTCTGACTTGAAGGCTCATGACCTGATCAGCTCCGCCGACGAACTGTTTCCCTATGAAAACAGCCGGCACACTTGGTTGGCACTTGAGCTGCTGAACTAGAGCACTTTCAATAGCCTGCCCATTTGGCATTTCATCTAGCTCATACACTGTTGGGTTTGCCCTGTAGCTTGATATGAGTGACTTGATGGTGTGGCTCATGCAACAAGAACTCTTGCTGAAGATCACCACCGGCTTTTCGGCCACCATGCTTGTTATCATGTCCATTGCGAGTCAGAGACTGGAAACAGACAATTAAAAGAGTATAAAATGGGGGTTGTGAAGATTGTGAAGTCAATTAGTCGAGCTTGCTAGCTTCTTGCTGTGAGGAACTTAGAACACTCGATCGATTGGTCTATTTATAGTGCATTGCATGCTTTCCAGATGGAGCAGATAGAATAATTAGTTGATAAAGACCCCTTTCGGCTCTCTTCAAGCTAGTGTTGTCCTTTGGAAATGTCCTTGTGTGATAACAACTTGCAATCTAGCTAATCATCAATAAAGATAATTTGAAAGTGTTTTTAAAATAGTTAAAAATATTTTCAGACAATCAAAATCAATTTTGGCCGCATTTTGCAAAGGAAATTGGAAAGTGTTAAGAACAAACTCGGACTTAGGGTACGATGGGTGCATTTGTATTCATTTGGAAAGAAGAGTGAGTGGTACTTTTGTCTCAAAGACACTGAGACTTTGTTGTGTTGGAAAATAGTAATCTATTTAGTGTTTGGATTTGAGCTTAGTCCATTAGAATTATGTTTTCGTTTCCTTTCTTATTAGGGATTAGGATTATTATAAATAGAAAGCTTTGTTCTTCAAAAGTGATCAAGTCATTTACAATGTAGTCTATTGAGTTATGTAGCTGTCTCAGCATTCTTGTTCTTGAATAAAATAATCTTCGTAGTTTATTTTTGTTTTCTTTAGCGTACTTTGAGGTTCAACTTGTTGTAGCCACATCTACCAACTTGTTATAAAAGAATTTTGGAATAGTTTCCAGAAGAAGCATGAAATACTTCAAATGTTTTTGTAGAAAACAGTTAAAATTTTCTTTAGGAGCAATCCGGAAGGGTTTAATGTGCTTCTTTGTCATACAAGCGTTTTATATGGACTCTTTGTCAAGTGCTTTTAGGAAGTGCTTTCAAATGTTTTTTTGTAGAAAACACTTTGATTTGTAATTAATATTTCAAGCAGATTTATTATCAAAAACACTTCTAACAAAAACACTTACAAGAAGAAGCGATTTTTGAAGAAGAAATGCCAAAGGGCACCAAAGTGATTGAATAAAGCTAGGGTTTCATTGGAGGATGTCACTGTGGACCCATAGGGCATTGGCATATTAACATTCAGCAGCGGGTGGAAATAGTGGAATTTATGGTAATAAAGCTTTTGGACATATATCAAAATAGATAATGCTTGCATCCTCCATGTGGGATGCACATATATTTTCATTTACGAATAACATATTTTGACTTAATGAAATAAACGTTCGAAATTGTTCAATTTACTACTTTTCGTTTGAAAATCGCTCCCACAAAAAACATCCAAATTAAATATTATTTAATATCTAAATGTATCAAACAAATAGACGATTCCAACCGTATTAATCAAATGGACTGTTTAATTTATTAATCTTACTTGGTACCTACATTATCTATTTGGTCAATATATTTAAATAAATAATCCGATTGAAATAATTTTTTATAAAAATAATCTTCACATGAAGAATAAAAAATCATACCATTACAATTAAAATAGGTTATTCCCACGAAAAAAATGCAAGTATTATCCTATCGAAATAAAGAACATCATCTTTCTCCTCTATCTATTTTGGAGCATCTGCCCTACATTATTCACTATCTAATTAATCCACGTGATTACCGTACAAGTAAGAGAAGATACCTCAAGGACCCACACCCCACTTCATCGACAAGTAGTAAACTAACATGTGCTTTTTTTTATATTCAATATAAGAGATGCTAATCATAGTGTAATGTGAGAACATTGGAACCTCATAGTTCATTTTGAAAATCAACGGATATATAACTCGTTTCGCTATTTAAAGCCACAAATTCCGACAATCAAATGGCCAAGCGTTAGCGTAGTTATTGCTAAAAACGGTGATAAAAAGTAAAAAAAAGTGTGACAATACTATTATACATTTTTTTATTGTTGCCACGCTTTTAGCAATAATTATTCAGCAACAATCATGCTTACTCCGTAGCTATTGTTCCTTTTTATTTTATTTATTTATTTATTTTTTTCTGTTGTAATGAGCATTGACGCCAAACAAGGATCTTTAATCCCTATAATCAAATTCGAGTCATGATCTAGTCGATAAAGAATCATAACTTAAGGGTATAATACATACAAGCTACTTTGTAGGTACCTTTTGTAGAATAGTCCAATCAAAAGAAACTGAATCAAGATTTGAATAAAGAACTTCCACTTACGGTTGGTTCTTATTGCAAATGCACTCACTAATTAGTAATATTAGCCAGTCGCACTCGTAGGTATAGCTTTTCCGGATGAATTAATTAAAGTTCAAAGTGAATTATGATCGACAGTCAATATATAATTTGATTTTGTCTGATCTTTATTCTAATATAAGGGTTTCAAGAGCATCATGTGTATGCAACTGATGCTAGGGTTTCAAGCCACGTACAGAGCGTTTGGAGCTAACTGAAGCATGTGCATGCAATTGATACTAGGGTTTTAAGCCATTTGACATAGAGTATTTGGAGCTAACGGAAGATTTGGCGTTAAACCGAGTAAAATCTTGAAAGACTCATGAATCCACTTCAATTGGAATTACTCCAAAATTCACCCGTTTCATCATTTTTTGCCCAAAGTAGATTCACACGTCTTGCAATTGAAATATAAAAGCAAAGTATCAAAATTCATTTAAAATAACAAATAAATTATAACTAAAATTAGGGTAAAAATATAGAATAATATCGACTCATCACTAAGCACAGTGACACTCTAAAGTTCATACAAACGGCTCTACTTAATAAGATAAGACTTTATTATATATTGTTGTAGATTTGTATGCACTCTGCAGTACGATTGATAATATATGAACCTCATACCTGAGCTTATTAATTTACAGTGACTATAACTAATCAAATCATATATATTCTTATTTTAAATCTCACTAGCATATGGGCACACATAAAGTGTGTGAGAAATTTTTTTATTTTTGTTTTTGAAATAGAAGGAGAGAGGAAGAGAGTGATAGAGAATGTGGGAGTGGGAAGTTTTTTTTGTTTTTGTTTTTTTGTTGTTTTTGTTTTTTTGTTTTTTATAAATTAGAGGTATGTTAGGATTACATGTAGGTGAGACTTTGTAAAAAAAAAAAAAAAGTAAAATTTGATTGTGTGAAATTACATTTCTGCCTCATATTTCTTATTTATGTTATGTTTTAATTAGAGGGTTAAACTGGTAATTTCAATGCATTTTGGTTGATAATAAGTGTTTTATTAATTAGTAGAGATAATATTCTTTTGATTTCATCCTTGGATGTGATTGTTTTTCATGAAAACAAATCTAATCCCAACTTTTGTATATACTTGCATGTTTATGTTGCATGCACATCGATCTACATATCTAACCACGTAATTATATTATGATAGTTGGTGTAACAGACTCTGTTTTCAATACAATAAAAAATTTCTCAAACACTATTAATATTGATTAGTAGTGGGAAACTATCGGACCAATTCAGAAATTTGACAGAGGAAAACTATATAAGCACCTTTCTTCATTTTAAATTTATGATACATGGTTTTTTATTTCTATAGTCTGCATGCACAAGAATAACTATTGTGGTAGGACGTCAATTTTAAATGATACATTTTCTGGATAATTGGGGGATTGTATTTTAGTGGATAACATATATATAACAAGAACATGTAAAAGATTGCAATGCAAGGACGGTTCGTAGCATCACAAAAGATTAATATCGAGTTTACAGCCTATCAATATTATACATCTATTTTGTCTAAGGATGGTGTTATCTACATATTTGTTTTTACGCACACTCTTTATTTTCCAGCCAACATATAAAATGAATTATAAAAGATCAATGGACAAAAATTTACACAAATGTATGTGAAAGATAAAAAGAAGTGTGTGAATAACACTATCCAAATTAAATATTCCAACTGAGAGAAAATCTACGTTATTTGCAGCACAGCTAAAACCCTAGACAAAATGAAGTTTAGCGACGTCAGAAAATTCCCAATATGGCATCTTTGTACGGTGTAAGGCTCTAATAAGTTGTTCTTTTCTTCTTTTTCTTGTCATCACGTGGTTCCCTAATCCCTATTCCATGTTTTCTTGTCATTTTCGCAGGATGTGAGCATCCCTGGAACCTGCAACGCGTTTATATTTTTCGTTTTGCATTTCGTTTATTGTGTTTATTGTTGCTTAGGCAGCTGGAGCGAGATATGGAAACTGTGGTGAAAGTACTGCAGCCTGGACCTTTAGGAATCATAGAACACAAGTTCTCTGCTGAAGAGACACGCAAGGCAAATGCTACGGTTCAGAGGGCAGTGGAAAGCTGGTGACGGAATGCAATCCTAGAGCAGACAAATCCGTTCTTAAATGACTATATTCAGAAGTGAAGGATCTGCTCAAGCCATTTTTCATGGGTAATCGATATCGAACAATCAAACTTTTTTGAATACATAAACTTCTCTCTTCGTCAGCAGAGCTTTTCACCGACATTGAAGGAAGGCTCTCTTAGTTTCTTCACCCTCTTGCTCTTGGTGAGAACCTGTCACCAATGTGCAGTGCATGTATTTCTTTCCTAGTTTCGTTTGTTATGTTTTTTGATGAAGAAGGAAATGCGTTATTTGTTTTAGTTTAAATAATTACTCGGTTAGTAACTTAGTGAAGTATCCATACATCCCATCTTTCAAAGATGTTAAAATATGGGCACACTGTGTAATGTTGACATGGATAAGGTAATAAAAGTTTGCATATGTATATGCCGGTTGTAGTTATGATCTCTGAGAACTGAATTTGTTTGTTCCCCACCGAATGCTCATGATCTGTCTAAATCTTATCGTATTTATTCCTATCATTTGCATGTTATTTTACAGAAATGAATTTTTATCCATAACTGTGACCAAGAAGGAAGTTTTGAGATGTGCTACAGCTTATGGGGGAATGACGTTTAGTGAATATATTTTTCAGAACCAGAATAAAGTAAAGCAAAATGCAAGATCGATTTGTGGCATCCTAACCATGACTTATAGAACTTAAGGTCCTATTTTCGATGGATTTCCTTTGAGCATGAGGTAAGTTCAGCATTATAAGTTTTCATATTTTTGTGACTCGCGTAAATCTTAGTCGAGGATATATGCTGAGCAGTTGTAGAACTATTGCGGTTAAGCATATGTGCACTCTCTGCTTTTGTTAAACATGCATATAGTAAAGGGAGATTACAGGAACTAAAAACATACAAGCTCATCCTCTTCAACAAGAGGAACTAACTTCGGCCTTTCCCAGACAAAGAAGAAGTCAAGGGTAGTGCTAGTACAAGATAAAGAAGGTGAAAAAAGCTTAGCTCGATAGAGTATACATTGATCTCATACTGACTCCCGTTCATGATACCAACCGAAAGGATAAATGCTACGAGGGAATAGAAAAACTGTTATTTGAGCTTTGTTAAGTAGTGTAGGTCTGGATTTTAGAGTATAACTTATGTTATAGATATATGAGGATGTCATTCAGGTTGTAGTCCAAACCCAAATAGCATTGGACCTTATGAGCATTGGGACAAGCTGGTTTCTGACTTGGAGGCTCATGACCCGATCTGCTCCACCTACGAACTGTTGCCCTATGAAAATGGCCGGCACACTTGGTTGGCACTTGAGCTGCTGAACTAGTGCACTTTCAATAGCCTGCCCATTTGGCATTTCATCTAGCTCGTACACTGTTGGGTTTGCCCCATAGCTCGATATGAGTGACTTGATGGTGTGGCTCATGCAACAAGAGCTCTTGCTGAAGATCACCACCGGCTTTTCGGCCACCATGCTTGTTATCGTGTCCATTGCGAGTCAGAGACTGGAAACAAACGATTAAAAGGGTATGGAAATGTGAGGGGTGTGAAGATTGTGCAGTGAGTTAGTCGAGCTTGCTAGCTTCCAGTGAGCAACTTAGAACACTCGATTCGTCTATTTATAGTGCATTGCATGCTTTACAGATGGAGCAGATAGAATCATTAGTTGATAAAGACCCCCTTCGGCTCTCTTCAAGCTACTGTTGTCCTTTGGAAATGTCCTTGTGTGATAACAAATTTTTTTAGCTTTTAGAAAACCTCTGCTGTACGAAGGAAATACGTAGGACAATTTGAAAGTGTTTCAAATGGCTAAAAACATTTTCAGATAGCCAAAAACAGTTTTGGCCGCATTTTGCCAAGAAAATTAAAAGTGGTAAAGAACAAACTTAGACTTGGGACACGATCGTTGCATTTGCTCATTTGGAAAGAAGAGTGGTTGGTATTTTTGTCACAAAGACACTAAGACTCTATTGGAACAATCTGTTGTAGCCACGTTTGCCAAAACTTGTCATAAAAGTACTCTTGGAAGTGTTTCTAGAAGAAGAATGTAGCACTTCAGGTGTTATTGTAGAAAACGGTTAAATTTTCTTTAGTAGCAGTCTGGAAATGTTTAATATGCTTCTTTGTCATATAAGCATTTTCTATAGACTCTTAGTCAAGTGTTTTTTAAGAAAGCACTTCTAAGTATTTTTCTAGGAAGTACTTAGATTTCTAATAAATATTTCAAACAGATTTTTTATGAAAACACTTCTAATAACTTATGAGCAGAACTGCGGAAGCGATTTTTGAAGAAGAAATCCCAAAGGGCTCTAATACTATTGAATAAAGCTAGGGTTTTCATTGGAGGATGTCATTGAGACCCAAAGGGCATTAGCATGTTCACATTCACCAGCAGGTGGAAAAAGTGGAATTTATGGTAATAAAACTTTTGGACATATATCAAAATGGATAATACTTGCACCCTCCATGTAGGGCTGCACATATCTCTTTATTTACGAATAATATATTTTGATCGAATAAAATTAAGGATTGGAACTGTTCATTTTATTAATCTTCATTTGAAGATCATTTTTACAAAAAATCATTTGAATTGGAGATCGATTAATCATCCAAACATGTTAAAACAATTGAACGGTTCATTATAAATACGTTACTTAATACCTACACTGTTGGTACATTTGAATGATTGAATGATCTATGATTGAAATAATTTTTTTCGAGATGATATTCAAAAGAAGATTAAAAAATTGAATGGCTCTAATTATAAATTAATTACAGCTAGCATACAATATTCGTAAGTGGGAATGAGCTTATCCCCCAATAAAGAAAATGCAAATATTATCCTATCTAAATAAAGAACACGATCATTCAGCTCTATCTATTTTGGAGCATCTGCCCTATATTCTACTGAGGTGGAGAAAGAAGATGGGTTTATCCGAAGGGGCAAAAGATTCCCATCCATTTCAGTTGAAGCAAACCGAAAGCGATTGTTAAAGAGATTTTGTGAGGGACAAGATATGCTCTTTATTTTTTATCGTTGACAAAATATTATTGATATAAGGTTAATCCTTCTTCTTTTAATTAATCCACGTGATTACCGTACAAGTAGGGGAAGATACCTCAAGGACCCACACCCCACTTTATCGAAAAGTAGTAAACTAACATGTGTTTTTTTATTTTTTTTTTAATTTTTTTTTATCAATTTAAGAGATGCTAAACATAGGATGAAGATCTTTTCCGAATTTTTTTGTGACGATTCTCACATTGTGATCATATATCGTGTGATTAGTTTTCGTTAAGTACTATTTATACTTAATTTTAAATAATAAAATTCAAAATAATTTTTGATTGCACGATATACGATAAATGACTATAATGTGAGGATCCTTAGGATTCCCACAATTTAGGTCCGGATGGGATTCAAATCCCTAAACATGAGCTATTTAGGGTGCAATTTGCTCGTTTCCTTAAGTTATGGTAATATTCATCACTCTATTTATCATCGGCAGATAAGTTTAAATTTTGAGATGTGTGTCTATCTACTTCACAAATCTCAAAATTTAAACTCATCTAACAATGCTATATAGAGTGATGAGCATCACCATTAAATATGAGCAAAAATATTCCTGCGATTTAGGCATCCAATATTATGACTAAAAGCTTGCTATTTTCTTGAGAACCTATATGCTTTCAAACATATTTTACAACGGACCCATGCACTTTTTACATAGCTAAACACTATAATTTGGCTAGTCACATTTGGATATAGAAATCATCATCAACTTAAATTTTTATTGTATTCATGTGGTTGAATATGTAACAACTTTCAACTAATAAAAAGTTGAACTACTTTCCATATTGCCAATTAGTTTTATGGTGGTAGTTTAACTTCTTCAATTTGTATATTCAATCTCTAATTGATTGTATGATAATTTATTAAATTGATGACATGGTGAGCTTGCGACCCTTATATATAGGCGACATGCAAGCTACATTTACACCACTTCGACAAAAAAAAAAAACAAAAAAAAGAAGAAAAAATCATCAATTTAGTGGATGCTTATACGTTCAAAAAGACAAAATATGTAAATTGATACAACATCATAGCGCAATGTGAGATCATTGTAGCCTCATAGCTTATTTCGAAAATCACCTCATAGCTCATTTTGCAATATATGCCCACAAAATTTGACAATCAAATGACTAGCGTGAGCGTAACTATTGCTAAAGGTGATAAAAAGTAAAAATGAAAAACGGGTGCCTAAAAGTAAAAAAAGTGTGACAATGCTATGGTACTCTTTTACTGAAGTCCTAATAACAGCCAATCTTACTCCGTAGCTATTTTTTTAGTTTTTATTTTTTATTTTGGGTAGTGAGCATTGATGTCAGACAAGGATCTTTAACCCCCTATAATCAAATTCGAGTCATTACCTAGTCGACAAAGAATGATAACTTAAGGAGATAATACAACCTTTAAGAATTTTGTACGCACCTTTTGTAAAATAGTCCAATCAAAAGAAACTAAATCAAGATTTGAATAAAGAACTTCGACGTATCTTATTGCAAATGCCACTTATTAATTAGTATACATCGTCTCATTCGAAGGTATATAGCTTTCCGGATGAATTAATTAAAGTTCAATTGAATTATGATCAACATAATTGATTTAGTCTGATCTTTATTCTGATATGGGGGTTTCAAGAGCATAATGCATGCATCTGATATTAGGGTTTCAAGTCATTTGCTATAGAGTATTTGGAGTTAACGGAGGACTTGGCGTAAAACTGAGCGAAATAGCGTTATAGGATTCAAGCACCCGACCTTATTTAGTGGAATAAGACATTATTATTGTAGATTTATCTGCACTTTGCAGTTACGATTGATAATATAAGAACCTGATCATATATATTCTTACTTTAAATCTCATAATATTCTTTTGATTTTTCAAAAAGCTTTCGCATTTTAAGATGTTGAAGAGTATGCCTTACATCATAAATCTAGTGAAGCTAAATTTCTCTTATGGTAATGCTAAATTGTTAAACTAAATTTTGTAAGCCAAATGATGTGGTTGATGATTGAATTATTACTTAAGTGTTGATTAACGTTCTTATATTCAATTGGTGACACATCATTGTTTAGAGTTTGATTTTAAAATTAGGCTACCTAGCTAGCATTATCCTTTCTCTTATATTGAAGCATTTCATTACTAATTGCATTGATGTCAGCTTTTATACACCTATTGAATTGCACATGTAATTAAATTAAAGACAGTACTAATGCTGATTTATAATTTTATGGTGGACAACTATTGGACCTATTCAGAAATTTGCGACAGGAAAATAACTATATAAGCTCCTAGCTCCATTTTTAATTCATGATACGTGGTTTTTTTTACTTCAATAGTCTGCATGCACAAGAATAACCATATTGTGGTAGGACGACAAGTTTGAATTTTTCTTCTTTTTTTCTTTCTGGATAATTGGGGACTGTATATATCCAACAAGAATATATGTATAGATTGCATGGACGGTTCGTGGCATCACAAAATATTATGATCGAGTTTACAGCCTATATATCAAAATTATATACATCTATATTGTTTAGGTTCAAAATTAAATATTCCACCAGAGAGAAAATCAACGTTATTTGCAGCACAGCCAAAACCCTAGACAAAATTAAATTTAGCGACGTCAGAAAATTCCCGATATGGCATCTTTTTACGTGTAAAGATCTAATAAGTTGTTATTTTCTTCTTTTCCTTGTCATCACGTGGTTCCCTATTCCCTATTCCATGTTTTCTTGTCATTTTCACGGGATGTGAGCATCGCTGGGACCTCTCATGCAACACGTTTTTATTCATAGTATGATCATCATTGGATCATCAACTCCGCGGAAGAGACTTGTATGGAGTGGGTACACTGATATCGTGGCATTTTGAGCAATAATACAATGTTATGTAATGAAAAATTTATATATACATATACAACATCACATTATTGATTTGAAACACTATAATAATTGTGTACTTGGTTGGTCATTCCATACAATCCTTCTCCAGCTCTTCTACATAATAAAAATGTTATCATGGCGGCATTTCATAAGAGAGAGTCATTATAGGGGAATTTCAAATAAAATACACATGGCATACGGTTTAAATTTCTCACTTGATAATACGTGAGTGACAATATCTAAAATACTACCAAAATATAGCTAATATACAAATTTTATCACATTGTACAAGTAGCTTAAATCTTCCGAGCTCAAACCTCACAGAATCTAATTCTCAAACGTATACGTACGTTCCATGCTAGCAAGTTGGACCAGAAAACTCTCTCACTGCCATATATGTGCAGATTTGTCTTGGGACCAAAGACCCGGTGGCTCGCTACTGGTAAAGGTACAAACGTAAGAAGAGTTGTAATCCGAATCATCGTTAACAAGAGTATCGAGATTTTTCACCTTAATTAGCTAGAGTTTATAATTCATAAGAAGGTGTCAGTGATCTATATATAGTTCATAAAACAAAATCTAAAGGATTCTCGATTAATGTATTTCTCGAACTTAAGGTTGAGA